TCGCCGGTAATCACCTGAGCCTGTGCTTAATTGAGCCTTCTAATCTTTATGCGCTTGCTTTCTCTTGGACGACGCTCGATCGAGATTTACTGTAAAGGTATTTATAACCCTTCAAATCATGTATGCATTCATCGATCCTAACCTCTTTATTTCCTCTTTCCTACACCAAACAAAAATATTTTGTAATAGACTGTATACTGCATGCATGTTTATGCCTCGTTTTCATGTGCTTATTTCCACATGTTTCGTGCACAATGGGGTTAGAGACAGGTCTGTGATTGGCTCAAGATCAAAGAGAAACATATTTGTGCACAAAACATGGGGTTTAGGTTTGCACCATCGAATTTATTATTGCAAAGTTTTCGATAACTTTTCGAATGTTGTTCGTTGTTCAGAAACTGATAGTGGTGTAGCAAAAAGCATTTGCCTTAGGTAACAATTTCATGTTTAAATTGTTGCGAAACAAAGTAAATCGGGAAAGAAAACGTTGTCGTAAAGTATACTATAAGAAAAAAGTTAGCAACCTCCTGGATTCGAAACCTCCTGGATTCGGAACCTAAAGACTGGTGGCGAGAGGTAAAACAGCTCAGTGGTCAGCAATCAACACGGCCAGACCTCAGATCCATGATTAGATTTGACGTTGAGGACAGTGATGAAGGTTTAGGGAATAGGATTAACGAGGCCTTTATCAGTGTCATGAAAGGTTTCCCCCCGCTGCCTGAAGATTTTAACCTATCGACTGACAATGATGAACCAATTAGTGTCTCAGAAACAACAGTGAAGCGGCTACTACGTGCAATCAGTGTTTCCAAAGCTACTGTCCTGATGGACTCCCCAATTGGGTTCTATAGGCTTTTCTGACATTCTGGCACCTGCAATTACTGATATATTTAATGCATCCTTCCGTGAATGCAAGGTGCCGAGGGTATGGAAAATAGCAGATGTGCCACCTGTTCCTAAAGCCAAAAACATTGCCGATTTTAACAAGGACTTGAGGCCAATATCCTTAACTTCAACATGGTCAAAAATTGCAGAAAACCTCATCATCGAGTATGAATTAAAATCTAAACTACTAAGAAAGATGGACCCAATGCAATTTGGCTTTATCCCAGGATCAAACACGACTCTTGCGCTTATTTCAATGATGCATATACCTGGCTAGATGCACTTGATGGGACGGGCTCTACAGTAAGAGCGCTGTACTTGATTATCGCAAAGCCTTCGACCTAGACCACAATCTACTTGTTGCAAAACTATCCAATTATGAAATAAAGCCAACGGTTGTAAATTGGATCAGAGCTGACTTTCTTCGTGGTCGAACTCAGAGAGTTAAAATAAACTCTGTGCATTCAAATTTTTTACAAGTTCCTGCCGGTATTCCACAGGGAACGAAAATCGGTCCCTGGCTATTCCTAGCAATAATAAATGACCTATGTATTACAAAATCTCCGACTAGCAACCTGTGGAAATTTGCAGACGATACTTCGGTTTCCGAAGTTATCCCAAAAGATGGTGTTAGTTCCCTGCCAGATAAAGTAGACGAAGTAAATAAATGGTCGAATGACAACAAATTAATTTCAACTGAACCCTGGTAAATGTAAAGAGCTGAGGATAAACTTTACCACGCAACCATTTACTGAGGAACCCCTAAATATAAACGGGAAGTCATTTAAAATTGTAAAATCCGCAAAAGTTCTGGGCATGATAGTTACCAATGATTTGAAATGGAACAAACATGTAATTAGCAATACCATGGAAAAGGCTTCTAAGAGACTTTATTTATTAAGGCAATTAAAACGTGCTGAAGTGGAAACTAGATCCTTATACAAGTTTTATACTGCATGTATAAGATCTGTCGTTGAGTATGCTTGCCAAGTCTTCCACTCGAGTCTCCCTATAACTACCTATCAATGGAAATTGAAAGTATTCAGAAGCGGGCACTACGGATTATCCACCCAGACTCGAGTTACATCGAAGCATTAAAAAAGGCAAAGTTGGAAACATTGTACGATCGAAGAGAAAAGTTATGTGTAAAACTATTTTCATCAATCGAAGCAAATGATGATCATAAGTTAAAGGAACTATTGCCACCGAAAAATTCACAACCAAACAATCTCAGAACAAACAGAAAATATAATCTTCCCAAGATGCACACGAACAGATTTAGTAATTCCTTTATTCCATATTGCGCACATAATGCGACTTTGTAGGTAATTTCAGATCACTAATATTTTAAATAGTAATAAACATACATTTACATTTAGATTTTAGACTTTTTATTAGAGACAATATACGATATGTAAAAACATGATATGTAAACATAGGCACATACATATACTTATAAATATATATATATATATGTATATATATATATATATATATATATATATATATATATATATATATATATATATATATATATATATATATATATATATATATATTTATATTCATATATATATATATATTTATATTCATATATATATATATATATATATTTATATTCATATATATACGTATATATATATATATATATATATATATATATATATATACTAATTATAATCTTAAAATTTTATTAATCGCTACACAGTGTTTCACGCTTTGAAAGCGTGAAACACTGTGTAGCGATTAATAAAATTTTAAGATTATAATTAGTATATTTTGCTCTATCAATTAAATTTGTTATTGAGCACTCTTTTTGTACAACGGACAACGATTTATTATTGTATATATATATATATATATGAAATGTTGCTGATAACAAGATACAAGTCTTTTCTATATATATATATATATATATATATATATATATATATATATATATATATATATATATATATATATATATATATATATATATATATATATATATATATATATATATATATACAAACATCTTCTTTGATAGGTTGTCTCCTTTTAACCTTGTGCTTTGTGAGTTTTGGATTTGCAGGTAAGCATAGTTCATAAAGTAAGTTTACACATATTTTGGTTTTGGGACCTCTTGTATTCTTGAATGAAATGGGAGAGTAAGCAGATTTTTTATTCCTTTAAAACATTTCAGTCTTTTGTGTTTGACGGAAATATTTTACCGAAAAACTAATCTGATGTTTCTTCATCTTTCAATTTTACGCCACATTGTATCAGTCTGTTGCATAATAGTGGTCGCCGAAGGCAAAGTGATTTCAAGCATATAGTCACTGCATGAGACCGAAAGCGAAAACAGATAATTCTAGGGGTAGAAATCGTGTGGGGGAAAACTGACACACAAATTATGAAATCATTTTCCAAGCATTTTTCTTAGGGTCCAGTTAAATTTTTCGCCCGCAACTTTGCGAAATTAAAAAACAATATTCATCCCAATTTTTCTTCAGTGTTGGTGTTATGTACTCAGGTGAATATGATGTTTGTGATGTTACTCTGAGTGTATATCCACACCGGACAAAAGCTAGCTTGAAAAATATGCCTGGCCACGGTGGGAATCAAACCTACAACCTTTGGAATACTAACCAATGCCGCAGTGCTCTGCCAATTGAGCTACACGGTCAGGTCAGTTCGAGTATGTGACATTTCTACTCAGTTCCGAAATATCACATACTCGAACCGACCTGACATGAACGGGTAGCTCAGTTGGCAGAGAAATTGGGCTAGTATTCCAAAGGTCGTAGGTTCGATTTCCACAGTGGCCAGGTATATTTTTAAAGCTTGCTTTTTAAAGGTGTACACTCAGAGTAACATCACAAACATCATATTCTGATTATATTTACCTCAAATAATAACCCGAGTCTTTGGGCCTGAAGTTGACGGTTGAGATCACTTCAAACACGAACCAATTAAAATGCACTTGTTTCAACATAAGCCAACTTATGTATGTACATAGTGGTAATACTCAACAAGAAAATTGTTCGTCAGTGAATAATTGCTCTTGGATAGCCCTCGCATAACATCAATTAGTACGCATACATCGCACCAAACCAGTCATTGACATGCTCAAGCAATAAGAACGGGTAAAGTAGGTGAAATTTTTTTCTCCCTAGCAAAACATTATTCCTACATTGTTTGGATATTTGTCAAAGCGAAAGCCCTTAACGCATTGACCTTTGCTAAACGTATTCGTTTTTGATACATGATTGGTAAGCTAGCATTTCATTCCCTTTGTACCCGCTGAACTTTGCACCAATAGATATATATCACCTTTTTTGTGGCTGCACGTTTGAAAGTGATAAAATTATTGTCTCATTAACTTCAATCTAATAATATTGTTATATATAAATGTGCCTAGAAACACCATGCAAAGTGGCCCGGTTAAAGAAATTAATAATATGGCATGTTGTAAAAAGTTTCAAAACCATATGAAAAAGAAAAAAAACATTATAAAAAGTCCAAAGCTCAAAACAATATTAAATGGTTTAAAATTATATCATAGCGAAGAAATCGCTCAACATGACAAAACGAAAGAACATTATTCGAAGATTTTAGAAAAAAATTAAAATTGGCTGAGTGGATCGTAGGAAGAAAATTTGCACGTCACTCCAGACATGGAAGAATGCTGAGTTCCAAAAAAGAGCTTTGCTTCTTTATTACCTTAGAGAAGAACTGTTTTTTCGCTGATTTATACTCTGGAACGTTATCAGCCTGGACCAATGTCCATTATATACGACTCGCTTTGCTAATTTTGGTCAAGTTTGGGCTAAAATTTGGTAACTATGATGTCAAATGTGGAACGAAAGCAAGCAGTAAACAAATGCTAGCTTAAAACTGACTAAACCTGGCAAATAAAACGAGCAAAGGGAATCGATCTAGGAATCTATTTCCTTTCATATTCTGAAGCTTATTTTCAAAAAGCAAATTCTCCCACCTGAGTGTATGGCTTCCGGTTATTGGTCGCACATGCAATTTAGAAGAATTGCCTTGCAAGGAAAGTAATACCCATTTTTGGTCGGTAATTTTCACGCTATTACAGAAGTAAAGTAAGGAAGTTATTTTGTTTTTCATAGCGACTTGTCAGTCGACTACAAATCTCGGAGGTAGCAGTGGGACCATAAGAGGACCGGGATACCCTGGCAATTACCCAAACAACGCCGTGTACTGTTGGCGTATTTACGTTCCATTGAATTATGTGGTTAGACTCAATATTAGTACGCTCAACATGGAGGTCTGTACCGGATGCAATTGTGACTCAATCGAGGTGTTCAATGGTTACTCCGAATCATCATCAAGGATTGGAAAAATCTGTTCTAAAAGTTTGCTCGCAAATTCTTCTGGGCAGTATCTTTTTGTGAAGTTTACATCAGATGCCACAGGGACAGGGACGGCCTTCACAGCGTCATATTACAGACTGGCTAAAGGTAAGGGTAATTTACTCAAATTCCAGACTCTAGAAGGTGCCCGCAGAGGAGAAATGCCTTTGCAGTAGGTATAAGATTCAGCCGTACATTTTCTTTAGGATATAGTTAACATAATGATAATCCAATGTTAAAGCAACGCCAAAGGCTGTCATTCAGTTCGTCTGACCTATCAGCCATCCAAAAAAACATTATTCTGCAAACATATATGCGAACTGCGATTCTTTCCTAATTTACAACTCAGGTAAAATCCTTTGACCTCCCACTCTCGCCACACAATCAAACAGCTGATAATTATTAACATTCCCGTATGCACAGGTCTACCACATCAAAGTTGATGAGAGTTAATGAGAGTGCATTAGAGAGAAAGTTGAAGCTCTCATCATCTCTCGTCAATTCTTATCCTCTTTTGACCGAAACTTTAAAAATTAATTTAAACTGAAGTGGTTGATATCCAAACTTGACGCCGTTAGATTGCTGAATTCAGATTAAGATATCATCATCAGGCTGGCTGGGTTTCTGGTGCATTTCCAGGTGTTCTCTGCCGATGTTTGATGTACGTTTGCCCAACGAGAAACAAAACCCTTCAACATTAGCTTCGGTGCCGGTCCAGTAATTTTAAACGAACTTTGCAAGTCTAACTAATGTGCAATTACCTGTCAAGAAGGCATTTCAGTGGTTTTAGGCATTTAGTTGTGAGAAATAAATTTTAAGTAATGTTTCAAGTTTGATTATCTGGATAGGACGGGAATTCAAGTCCTATAAATATATTTCAGCCTAGACGACTGGTCAGACGAACCAAGCCAGCACCATATATGAATTAAATTTTTAAATAAAATCCCATGTCATTAATTATAATTCCGACACTCATTAATAATTCATAAGCGTGTTGGCAAATCACGTCAACCATAATATGTCACACGAAAGGATTATACCTGATGGACCTCATATCCATTGGTATTCCTTATATAAAAGTCTATCCTAGTCACTATTCTTTATATAAAGACTGCATGTATGGTAGTCGTGTATGAAGTAATTCAAAAGACTTCTTGTCGTGTTTAATCATATATAAAATGTTTGTCCTGCGCACTGCGTTTCAAATATTATGATCAGTACTCCTGCGCGTGTTTTAAATAATGAATAAAGAGATGCAGTGAATAAATTTTGACCCAGGATTCATGTTGATCCAGTTCCAGGACTGCATGATATCCAGATATCATATAGTTGGCTAGTTCCTTACCATAAACCTGAAATTATTTACGTCGATCAAAGAGGAGTAAAAAATAATATTTCAAAACGGTATACAGGACATTACCTACCAGGATTTTAAATTCCAATACATTAATTTTGAAAAGAAGAGCTTTATTAATGCACTCCAATTTCAAAATACCGATAAAGTCTGAAGTCGAGTATTTTAATTGCTTTTCTGAAACGTTGTATTAAACAAAGTTTAAAGATACTATAGAACTTTAGAAAAAAATGAAATTGTTCCCTGGGATATCTTCCTGACACTAATTAATTCCCCAGCCAACGGCGCGGAGCGTCGTTCCGGGCGTAAGCTCGGGGCGAGGGTACTAATTCCGTTCGGCTATTTACACTCGAAGATAGGAACGCACTAGCGAAGCCTAAAGTTCATCAATTATCGCGGGCGCATGGTGTAGGGGTTGTCATCTCACTGATCTCAAAATATGGCTCTTTGCCAGGACTGAAGAAAGGGAAAATATAAAAAATACATGTAAGAAGCTTGGAAAATCGTTTCTCATGACAAACTGTCAAACATTTTTTTTAATTTTTATATTAAAATTAATCGTAAACATTGATAAGACTTGATCTAGCATGAGAAATCCTAAAGTATGGGGTAAGTTTGTTTCAATTGTTTATGTATGACTTTGTATTTGATATAATAGTCAAGTCCGTTCTGCTGCATTGGTTCTGCTCATAACAATGTGAGGACCCTCTAATATAAACATTGCCCAAATTTCAAATGTTTCGAATTTTTCTGAACATAAACTCTATTTCACATTCATTAACAAGCATAGCGAAAAAAATTGTGTTAGATATTCAAACATTACATCATATTTTAAAAAAATGACAGCAGTTCAAAATGTAAACAAACCGTTTGTTTACATACGGACTTGACTTCCTCTTTAACGTTTGTAGAAGTTCATGATTAAAAGAAAAGCAAATTATTTTCATTAGCGACCTGTACGAATTCAATTTATTTCACTTCCAGTGCGAGTAATAAGTTGAAGCTCAAGTTGAAGAGTTTAATGTCGGTAAAAAGCAGTTGATTTCAATTCACATTCGAAAACGTTTTACGTAGAGTTTCGGTTTGAATTTTACAATGACATAAAGCCCATGGAAAACAAAATAATATACCTACTTTATATATTTTTGAAATTGATTGTTCTGTATTTAAAAGTGTTCAAATTTCATCTATTGTTTGCAGGTTTGCACAAAAAATTTAAAAAAAATTATCATGTAATCGTGTTACCATAACTAACATGACGTGAGCAACGCATGCCTGCGTTCAGTGTTGGCGTAATTACGAATACTTCATGTTGAAACAATGTTTGGAGAATATAGGCGAGGGGTTGTTGCATGCATGTATTTCTAGCAAAATATTGAATAACAAATGTGTTTGTTTTTGCTTTTTATTCTATTAAATTTGTAATCGTGCGCGATTTGAGCAATCCAATTGGCTAAACATAGAGCAATTACTACCCAAATCGCACTTTTCGAGCTGTAATCGCACTATCTTGAGTTTTGCTAGCATTTTAAACCAATCGTATTGCAGTTGTGACCTTAGCTTAGCCAATGAAAGGAAAGTGCAGAATTCACTTAGCCAGTCAATTAAAAAAAACCGTAATCAGGCAAATTGAGCAAGATAAACAAATCAAAGTGTTGCCATCTTGGCTATTTTTTGGCATATAAAAACAAAATAAAGTATAGCTTAAACTGTTAAACAATTGTAAATAATTTTTAAGTACGGGCATATTAGGAACGAAATATTTGTGAAACATGCGGAAAATACCGACAAAAACAAAAAACTTTGGCGACAAGCAAAACAACTAAACAATGTAATTCGTACATCGTATAATTTGTTGTTGTTTGAATGAACAAAACCGCACAAAAACCCGATCAAATTCCTCAATAAAACCTATAGTATAATTAAACTTACATAGGTTGTTTTTTAGTATTCAGAGTATCCATAAATTTCGACTCTTCATTTTTTTTGTAAAACGTTTCGATATTTAAAGAAAGTTCAACTTCTTCGCTTGTTGCCGCACTACGACATTTGGGATCACCTAGGGGGTGTTATTCGCAAACAAAGAGCTGTTTTCATTTTACAAAACTGTTCAAAATTAAGATTTCATAATGAATGTGACAAAGTCGAAATTGTACTTCGCGTCGTGCAATTTTGATCTGAAATTAAACTTGCGAATGCAAATTGCATTCCCGCTTCCCGGTCGTGCGATTTTCTAATCACACGTTTGATTTCGGACCAATTTGCACTCCTGGGGCCGGTTGTACGAAGGCCGGATAGCGCTATCCACCGGATAGTGATTTTTCAAGCTTTGTTAAATCAGTCGTTGATCGGTATAACTCGTATTAAAGTTTAGTATTTATATGTTAAATGTCTTTTATACTTCTTGTGTCGTCTATATCCGTAGTTTCACAGTTTACAAGCATTTTACAAAGGTTGAAAAAATCACTATCCGGTAAATAGCGCTATCCGACCTTCGTACAACCGGCCCCAGATCTAGCTTTGCAATTACCATTTTAACAATTAGACAGGGAAACCGAGTTGTGTATGAGCGAAATACTCGAACCGCCATTGTTTTGGTAGTAAATACGCATGCGCATGTTCATCAAACTCGCGCTGCGCACGCGCAGACTGAAAAATGGATTTTCCCTGTTGGTTTTCCCCGATTTCCTTCGTAAAAACAACAAAATAAAATCACGGAATAGAGATCAAACCTTGTAATATTAGCAAATAAATATACATACAAATTAAATATTGTTTAAAACATCTTGTACATTTTGCTTGCTTATATGCTAAATCACTTCAATTCATGGGCTATTCTTTCAAAATACGGTTTTAACGTTTAATTCTATTACAGTCAATTTCAGCTGACTTTTCACCGTAAGATTCTGAATTTCGTTCCAAACTTCGCAAATGCATTGCCTAGTTCAAAAGTTTATAATGAAATTCACAAACAGGTTTGTAAACAAAGCCTCTGATTAGCTATTAAATCAGTCAAACCAGCCAATCAAATTCCCAGTTTACAAACCCGTTTGTGAATTTCATTATGAACTTTTGAACTTGGCAACGAATTTGCGAAGATCGGAACAAAGTTCGGAACATTCGAGTGAAACGTCAGCTGAAATTGACTGTAACATCCTAATTCAATACAAATTTGTGTGTGAGGTAAAAAACTCACCTGTATCAAACAGGACGGACAATATATTAATATACATACAATTCACACGATCAGGGAACAAGTTATATATTTCGCCAAACTAATTAAAGCCTTGGCCTAATGTAAGAAACATTGTCGCGGAAATATTCGTGATTTTCAATGTTTGCTCAAATGTTTCCCTGCTTCCCATATCTGTAGCTATAATTAGCTTATAGTAATGTATATTTCCCTAACCAGTTTGACATATTTTTACCAATGGCCAATAACACGCGAGATTCAACTTCTGAATCTAATCAAGTGTGGAAGTGGGATGTGCAACTGATGTGACCAGAGGTTCTTCCTTCTCGCTTCTCGTTTCTTTCGCCTCGCAAAGAGCCTCGGCAACCAGCGTACCATATCTAGAAACATTGGCTTTTATGAGGGTGTTGATGGAGTTATATCGCGAGTCTTGATTCAATTCACTCAATTTCGGTTACCGTCAGTCGTGAAAACACTAAAAATTTACCGTGAAGCGTGAGAAAAAAGTACTATTTATCTTTTCAGAACACTTTTCAAAGATTCACCATTAAAATATCAAAA